TATGGGCACAAAGTATTCTGCTCCAGAGACAGCCTCATCTGTATGCAGGCATGGAAATCCAGCAGCCAGCCCCACACACTGAGCAGATTTGGGAATTTAGGAATAATGTGTCCACTCTTTAACTCTCTCCCACTTTTCTGCATAGTCTTGCACTTATATGGAACAGTGGGAGACATAAAGGGAGAAGAAGAAGAGAACCAGCATTTGCTATGTGCCAAGCATTTTACTCATTTGAGTTATGTAGGCTTTGCATTCCATGTAAGAAGGTATCCATATAGTGTGTGTGTGTGTGTGTGTGTGTGTGTGTGTGTGTGTTCATGGTTAGCACATGGTGATCTAGATGTAAAATAGAGGAAGAGGAAAAAGTTGTAAGGCACTTAGAAGACAGAAACAGTAGCGGTCAAAAGTGCATAAGAGTCCAAAGTTCAAAAGCAATCTTATGAGATCATTAATTAGTCAGTTTCTTTGGGGGCCATGTTGGGAAGTTCCAGCTTCTAGCAGTTGTATCCAGTCTGGACAGGATTTAAGAGTGAGCTTAGATCACAGACACAAGAATCCTGGAATCAAGACCTGAGAGGGAAGAAAAGTGAAAGATTTGAGCAAATGAAAATTCCCATCAGTTCTGAAAGTCTTCCGAGTCAGATGAGCTGTTATGTATTTAGGGAATCTGTTCAGCATCCTGCTATATCCAGAGTCCTGAACTCTGTCATCTTTACTTACTATAGTGGATTAACTAATGGTCAACTTGTAGCACCCAGCTGAACTAAATCAGCATGGTGCGGAGAGTGGTAGGTCCACATGGTGATTGCTGCCAACAGCGTAAGAGCAGAACTGGAGGGGAACATGGTGTGCGGCTGATTCTCCTGCAGAAGCTGGTCGTGCTGGCTTTCCTAATATAAACCCAGTGCTCTCACCATCAGAGGCGCTCTGGTCCTCCCTGTTGCTGAGGGTGACTATGGTTCTTTTTAGGGAGCTCTGGTCCTTACCTTTAGCATTGCTTCCCCACTCCAGTGCAGATCCTTCAGCCTGCTGACACAGATCCTTCAAATCCCTGGCATAGACTTTCTAGCTTCCACCACTGACCTCTGGGCCTTCCCACTGCAGATCCTTGATACAGACTTGTATGTGACATTCACATGGGTTCTAGGCCTTCAACAGGGACTCATGTGGGATGTTGCTGTGGATCCAGGCTCTTAGCTGGATTCTTTGGATCTTTAGTGTGTAAACTGATCTCCCACCCTCTTTTGCATTTGACTCTTTGGGTGAATATTACCTATAAGCTTTGTGTCCTGTATTAAATATCTTCCTTTGTAATCCCTGACTATAATACCAACTTTGCTTGGTTTGCTGGGGTCCCTCAGTAGCTGTCAATCATTTGCATGCAAATGGATCACTGGGGAGATTATGCATAAACAGATTCCAGTTAATACCTACAAGAATAGCCAGGAACAGTAGGTTAAGGTTGAAGTTTGACTGAACAAGGACCTCAGATAAACAGAGTACTGTGCTTTGAGGAACACCATTTAGGTCATGTGTAGCTTTGCCAGAAGAAAGAGGATACATTCACATCTGCATTAGAAGGAAGAAGATTTTTTTTTTATTTAAGAGGAAAAAGAGAAAAACACAAAACAAAACAAAGCGGTGTAAGGGTACACGTAATACAGAACTACAAAAAAAAAATAACAGTAAGAAATCACCTGTTAGTAGATTACATATTATCATCTTGAAAATAGTTGCTCAAATCACAGTATCAAAGAATACAAGGTGGACATTCAAACAGGGAGACTGCAAACAGCTGTGTTCAATGATCCAAAAACATTGATATAGTCAGCTATTTAACACCCCTAAACACACTTGCTGTTATATCCGTTAGAGCTCTTTTTATTTTTTTTTCCCCTCTCTTTTTTACAACAAAATTTACACATTTTGGATTTTATTACTCCTTAGTGCTTATTACTTTTTTGGGGGGGAGAGAATACAGTCAAATATGGCAAAACAAAGCTGTCAGTCAAAACTAAGGATAGACATAGCACATGGTGTAGAACAGAGCACAAGGTTATCAACAATGATTATTAACGTTGTCTCTTGTTTCCTTAAAAAGAATTGTCTATCTCATTAGATATTATAAAGTTGGACAAAACAGTAGAGAACAAGACCAATAAAACTTAGGCATTGTAAACATTACAGGACTTCCAAAGAAGACAATAGTCAAACCAGAATGGGCATCTTAGTGAATCTTATTGCCTTCAAAGTAGTTGCCTATATCCTCAAACTTGATACTATCATACAGAATGGAACAGAGTCTAATCAGTCAAAACAAGATCGTGGGAGTATTACAGGACTTCAAAACAAGTTAATAGGAAATCAAAAAGAGTTACTATATATATATCCTAATTTTTTTAAATTTTTTCCCTTAAGTAAGACAAACATAAGAAATGACTAAATAATTTTTTTTAAAGAATAAGGGGGAGATTGAGATAAAACAGGACATAACAATATAACAATAGAGGTCAAAGCATGACTGTTTCAGCAACCTAGTACTTCACCACCATATAACCCGACTTAATAGTAGTTACCATAGTGTCTGTCTTTAGAAGGAAGAAGATTTAAAGTGTCCTTGATGGCTGCCCCTCAGTTGACCAGCTCTCAGAAGTGTTAGAGATGCTTTTGGTTATGCCTAAGGCCTCACCACAGTTGATCTCTTCCTTAGGGTAAAGGAAGGTTTAGATCCGTCAGCTGTTAACACCTTAACATAAATTAGACCGTGATTAGCCAAATACTTTCCTATAAAAAGAAAACACACAATAGAAACTAATTTTTGTGGAATCCTCCCATGGATGGCTAGAACAGCAATTGGTACTGCCATAAGGATCACAGAATAAAACTTGGCCAATTCCCTCATCAACTTTGTGAGACAGTATTTTCTGTTTGGTGGATGAGGAAATGAGATTCAGAGAGGGTAAGTAATCCAAGATAAATAGTCCTCAGCCTGATGATACTAGAGTCTAGATATAATCCAATATCCATATGCTTCTAAAAGCCAGGCTTTCGACCATTTGAAGGCTGGGGGAGAGAGAACAAGGCCACACCAGGAAGCAAGTCCAGCTTGGGAACCAGCACCATGCACAGCCACTGCCAGACTGGGGAAATCCAGACCCCAACTTCTTTCAGGACATGGGCTGGCAAACAAGAAGTACCAATCCCCCCGACCTCCCATCCCCCCACCCTCCGTAAGCAACCAGCTTCTCCAGAGGAACACAGACTGTGATGATAGCCATGGAAGTGAAATGCAATTGGATGCCTGTGGTGCTCTGGTGTTTCACTGACTTTGCTCGTCAGGGGACAGTGGTCTGATCATAGGTTCAGAGGATAGCCGTACACAGTGTGACATCTAGGGGGGATCTCCTCCTGAGGGTTGCAGCCATTGGTGATTCCCTGTGGTCTTGTTTTGAAGTCCTACATCATTGTTGATAAAAGAAAAGGCATTGTAACCTTGCATGACTTTGTGTCTCGAAGCTGCAGTTTTCTTAAAAGTACAGTTCTTAAATCATGATTTTCTTTGTCTCCTTTCTACTTATCTTCATTTCATCTAACCTACTTCAATTTCACTATGCTTCCAAAATGAAGACTGCAAGAAAACGTTTCTTCTTGGTACTTTGAGAAAGACAGTTTTGCAGCTGTCTTTTATTCCATATTGGAGACACTCCTAGCCAGAGGCAAGGAAGGCACCAAGGCCATGTCTCTTTCGGATTTGAGTCCAAGAACAGGCGATAAACCCCTTCTGATGAGGCAGAAAAATGCCACCCACTGCTGTAAGATGAAAGGAGGCTTACTGTCAAACTATCTTGAAGTCACTGAGCTGAAGTTGCAGAGAAAATTCTGTCCCAAAAGTTGCTTTTGACTGTCGGATGATTCCAGGATAAATCAGTAATGAAATGCTCTCGCAATGAGTAAGGGATAAGGAGCAATGAAAGGTGAGACTAAAATGTGTCTAGACTTTCTCGAATCATCTTATTTTTAAAGTATTCATTATAACTATTTAAAAGTATATAATTTTTTACTTTAATGCATTTACAGTATTTGCTTTAATAAAAAGTCATATTTTTGCCTCTCAGCCAGTACAGTATCTTCAATTGAGCACCATGCATGCAGCACTGAGTGGGAGGAACAGAGATGGCCAAGATGGTATGCTCCCTGGTTCCGAGAAACTAAATGTCTAGCAGAGAAGACAGCTGATATATATTGAATTACCGTCAATAATTAGATGATTATAAGTAAGTAAAGTGCTACAATGTGAGGCTACTCTAGTACGGAGGGAGGGTTCAGAAAATTCCCTAAACAAGTGGCTGTTGATCTGAGACAAAAATTGGCTAGAAGTTGGTAACAGAAGATGCTAGAGTTTGAATCGTGAATGTTCGCGGAGATGTTAAAGGCTGGGCCCTCAAGGTGGTACTTCAGGGAGGTGGGGCCTCATGAGAGGGTCTTAAGTCATCGGGGGCATTCACACAAAGGGGATTTGGGACACTAGTCTCTTCCTGTCTTCATGCCCCAGCCCTGAGGTGAACCAGTTTGCTCCACCATGTGCTCATATCATGATGTCCTGCCTTGCCACAGAACCAGAACAATAGGTCCAACCACTGGAGAATGGAACTTCCAAAAGCTTTTTCCTTTGGAAGTTAATTGTCTCAGATATTTTGTTATAGTTAGAGAAAGCTATACATAGAGAGTACACAAAACAGTACCCCAGAAGGAGGATATTGCATATCACCAGACAGAGCGGGGCTCTTAGCAAGTCACGGGGCTGGAGTAGAGGAGGTTTGCAGTGAGGATGAGGGAGGGGGACAGCAAGTAGTCACCCTGGAACAGGATTTGTGGACACGGCAAGATTCTGCTTTACCCTAAGGGTCACAAAATCTGAGGAAGCAGAATCAGATCAGCTTTCTCTTTCAGAAAGGAAACTATGAGGTGAGAAATGAATCAGCTTTAAGGCAGTCAGCTTTAATTAAAGGAAAACTGAACAAAATCACTTGCATCACTTTTGTTTATTCAGGCATTATACTGTAAATTGTTTTTCTTAGCTGATAAGAGAAGCTGGTGGATAAAGATTATTTACTAGCCAGGCAGTTAAAGAATCTGCTTGCTTACAAATCAGATTGAGAACCAGATTCAGCAAAACTGAAGTAGATTCTGGCTCCACTTAAGTGATACATTTCTCAGCTGATATTCTACAGAAAGTGATAAAGACTGTCTTCCTATCAAATTGTTTTGACAACCCGATTTTTACCCATCCGAGATGTAAACCTTTAATGTTTGTATACAAACATCAAGAATTATAAAACATGTTTCAGGTAATCAAGGGAAGTCATAAAACATAACCAGTGTAGGAGGTTGCAATCATGGCAATTTGTAATTATCACAAACTTCAGACATAACTAAACATAAAGTGAATTACATCTTTTTCTTTTCCTTACTTAAATCCCATTTTGACCAACAGTATAAACCCCAGCTGTTGATTTGGGGAGTTTGAGACACTAGCTGTCAGTCTTTCCTTTGAAGCTGTTAAGATAAATATCCAAGCTTGGCTCCTGCTTCACTCACTTGGGTCAACCCGATCCTCGCTGGGCCAGCTGCGCCAGCTTCCTCTTTTCTGTGTCACAATCCCCGCAGGATCCCCTTCTCACTTCTGGTTCCAGAGTCTGCTATTTCACATGCGTGACTAAGAAGACACTGCTACTCATTGGCAAGGAACCCACACTGCCAATTCAGATCTTCAGAGTGGTGAATAAACCTCTTGAAAGCTACAATTCTAGATCCAATTTGCCATGGTTGGCTGACCGCCAAGGGAGGAACACGCAGAAAGAGCACATGTCGTCAAATGGCACACCCCACACAGCAGACGACACGCACTGGTCCACCTGAATAGTCACCTGCTTCATGTGGCCCCCAGGGGCCGAGATGAGAGGCAAAGAGCTCCCACATCCTCCCCTCCATGCCTACCCCTCATCCCCCCTCAAAGACACACAGTCAGTGGCGCAGGTGCCAGCCATGCTTGTGACCAGACGGAGGCTGCATGGCTTTCATGGGAAAGTGTGACCTGTACCCACTGACCCTGGCAGTAGCTAACGTCAGGCAAATGGCGGCAGACTACTTGAGAATGGGACAATCTTGGGTGTATCTCTCTGTCAATCTGGTCATACTATTCAGCACAAATACCTAGATCATTTGAGATACTAGTATGACAAAAATATGTTGGTACCTCTTGGAAGTGTTTCTGAAACTGGAATGGTGGCAGGACAAATCCTGAGTGCCCGGGAGCGGGGTAGAGGTCAAGGAGCGGACAGGCTGCTCTTACTGTGCCCGGAGGATGCAGCCAAAGGAAGTGGCCTGCAGGTTCTTTCTGAGTGAGCAGCCCATTCAGACCTTGTACCGGGGGTGAACGCATAAAACAGGAACCAAAATGACCCCTAATATCTATAGGTTTTATGAGTTCAGATTCCATTTGCCTCGCAGAAACAGTTCCCTGAATTCCAACAGCTAGATAATGTTGCCTTTGTCATTCTAAATGGCCACAGTGCACGGCAGCTGCTCCTCTCACTGTCCCAGTTAGCAGCCTGGCATTCATAAACAGCTGCTGTGTTTAAATGTTCCTCCCTGCATAGAACAGGGCCTGTGGAGCCTCCCAAAAATATGTCCTCCTGCTAAAGTGGTGCATGCCATGGCAGCAGATGTTCGCCCATGTCATTCGTGACACTTGGCTCTGCCAGGATCTGAGATTCCGACTCCTCCCAGAGGCAGTCAGGACAGGACCAAGGACACAGGGCAGCAGCAGCATCACACAGACTCCAGGTGCTGAGCTGAGCACCCGGCCCTTGGGAGGCATTCCGTCAGTATTAGCTATGAACAGAGCTGAAAATCAGCTAATCTGCACCAGGGCAGACACTGTAGCTGTCAAAATGCAGAGTGGCTGCCATACAGCTTGGTATAGAGCCCCTGTCTACCCAGTGCTCACCATCACCACCCCCAGAACTATCTCATGGTGGGATGATGGGGCCCCTAAGACCTCCTCACAGGCCAGCATCCATTCTGACTGATTAATGTCACAGGTAGCAGTGATTAAATTCAGTGTCACGGTCATCACTTAGGGATCCACCTCCCCACAGATATTTAGACCCTGAAGCTCTATCCCTCTCTCTGTTCTCTCCTTAACCCTCTGATTCCTCTTTCCCCTTCTCCACAGTAGGTTTCTATCCTCTGCTCATCCTTTGAAGGACGATCTTTTCTGTCTTGACACAGTCCTTGAACATCTCACTCACGGCTGTGACTGCATCTACGCCATATAAGGACTTAGCAGCTTGGCTAGGCTAGAACGGGTCTCCCAAGGTTACCTTCCCTGCCAAGTCCGAGGTGAGCATGAGCCACATGAGGCTTGGAAGACAGTAGTGCAGTAAGAATGGTTTAGGTTTTACTCTCAGAAAGCTGCTGTGGGGCGGCAGGGACTCTGTGGCCCATCCACTGGTCCACCTCTCGGGGTGGGGCAGCAGCCAGGCAGGTGACTCCGCCAGCCCCTGCTGGTTTTCTCATCAGTATCTCTCGCTTCTGGGCCAGGTGCACATTAGCTCTGTGTTGTGTAAGTCAAATCCCTGTAATATATCCAAATCCATAGCCAAGTAGAGATGATAGATAGATAGATAGATAGATAGATAGATAGACAGTCAGACATGTTTTGGATCTTAAGCACTCCCCCAAAAGTCAATGTACTAAGGCAGAGGAAGTGGCAGAAACTAAGGTGGGGCCTCACTGGAGTTATACATTCAGAATATTACAAGACCCCAGTCCCTTCCTCTTCTGTCTCTTTGCTCTGCAGTTGTGGGATGCACAGTTTGGCCCTCCCACGTGCTTCCATCATGATTCGCCACCACAAGCACAAAGTAACAGGGCCATCTGATCATGGGCTGAAAGCTGCAAACTGTGAGCCAAAATTAACCTTTTTTTCTTTAAATATGTATTGTCTCAGATATTTGTCATAGTAAAGCTGATCAACACAGATTTATAGATGAATAGATAAGAGTGATCAATGGAAAGATCTTCTCATGGTTCTACTCCTCTGACTGAACTCTTGTTGACACAAACCACTGCCCGTCCCCTAAGCCATAAATCTAGTATCACCTCAGGCTCCCTGTCTCCATCAGTCCCAACATCTAATCGCCCAATGAGCATTTCTGCTTTCCGGCTTGTTTTATTCTCCAAGTGCTTAGATGTTTTTGTTTTGTTCTGTCTGACAATGGCACAGTGCTTGTTTTATAAATAACAACTAGAAATTTATGGAATAAACAGCAAAAGGAATGCATGAGTTCAACAAAGATTGATTGTTCAACAAAGATCTATGCATAACCTAGTTCGGGGTGACTTTCCATTATGTGTGCTCCCCTCACATAGAGGGGAGAAATGCTTTGTGCAAGCACAAAGCATTGAGACACACTCCTTTGGAAGAGTCTGGTCATGGGAAAGGTATCCATGTGTGCAGGTTGGAGTTGTTCACTGGAGCTTTTGTAACCAGTAACAAGAACTGCACAAACTGAGAACTTGAAAGCTTAAATATTAGGAACACCTTTTGTGGAATGTGTCTGTATTTATTATCTCAAAGTGGCAAGAGAAGCTAGGCAAGTTTGTAATGCAAACAGGAAAAATGCTAGCCCACCTCAGAGCAAGGAGCTTAAGTACATTTGTGTTCACACAATGAATATATTCATTACAGGCTGGGGATTTAGCGCAGTGGCATAATTGCCTACCTGGCAAACACAAGGTTGTGAGATCAATTCCCAGTACCAAAAAAAAAAAAAAAACAAAATGCTCATTACATACTTTTTTCCTTTTAATATCTTGGATCTCTAACACATCCTCTCTTCTCTTTTAGTATTTTCCTGTGGGTGCCTCATTATAATGAACTGGCATTTCCTTACCAATGTGGTTTTTTTTAAACTATCATTCATCATCCATTAATTCATAAAGTATGTAGTAAGTGTCATTTGTCAGATGCTGGGAATATGATAACTTGTTAATATAAGATTTCTCTTTTTGTAGTTTCTATTATAATGAGAAAAATCATTTATCAAGAATTAATCCACCAAATAACATTACTTAGTGATGGGTACACCTACACACACACACACACACACACACACACACACACACACACACTTGGGTAAGGGCCGGTGAGTATGAAGGAGATGTCACAGAACATAATAGAAAGGAGACACCCATGTGGCTACCTGAGCAACAGCTTCCAAGCAGAAGGGATAGAAAAGCTTCACCCAAGTGGGGCAGGACATTGTCATGCACCCGTGCTATGATTTAAAATTTTTTTTTCTTTCTTTTAGTTTTTGGAACCCTCTAAGCTGTTTTCATCTTAAAGACCTTTGCACATTATGTTCCTTTGTTTGAGCCACTTTTGTCCCTGTTCTTGAATTTCTCCTCATTTTTCAGGTCTCAGTTCTAAAACCTGCTTCTTCACAGAAGTGTCCCTGACTATCCTACCTCCAAGCAATACCTCACAAAGTACACTTTCTTGTGTGTGTATTGAAGTTTCACACTGAAAGTCCTCCAAACAATTGCTGCGTGGATGGATGACCTAAAGAATGGACCAGAATAGTCACCCACAGAGCATCCAAACTAGCAAGGCTGAGAAATAGGAAAGGGGTTGGGGAGGACTACAGGAGAGGAGAGAGTGAGAGAGAGAGAGAGAGAAACTTACCAATGAAAGCCAGGGTTTGAGGAAAAAAGAGAAAAGGAGAGCAAGGGAAATCTGCTAAACTAAGCCAAGCAGAGGGGTTGGGCCAGGAGAAAGTGGCAGAGGACAGGCCGGCAGGACAGTGGGCAGCATGGACAAAAAACCTAATACCAAAGCCATAGCTATGCTACAGGCTACATGTCCACAAAGGCTTCTGCCCTCTTCAGAGGGACAGAGCTGGGCATGACCCAAGATGCAAGGCCCAAATGTCACCACTACTCCTGTGGAATCCTCCTCTGCCTGGACACTTTTCACTACAGCCAGGGTATCCACTCCCAGCCCCAGTTATGCATCAACCCTTGCTTATGGGTCTTTTCTTCTGCTTCTATTCAAAGGAATCATTGTCCCTTAAGCATTCATGGCAGAACAGTAAGAAAACCATCCATCCTCAAGAGTTGTGATAAGCTCCAGTTTGCCAAGCTCGCCTTGGCCTTGTATTGCCCCGAAGGGCACTCAGAGCACCAGGTGTGGCCAAAGCCCCAGGAACTGGGACAACAGCAACCTTGGGAATCCTGACAGCATGACCTTCTCAAGGCCTCAAATCCAGCAAACCCACCAGCTGGGCAAAGGCCTGGGATGGCTCTGAGCCCCACCTGCTTTGACAGGAGACACTTTCAGCAGATGCCCTTCTGTTTTATTGTTGGCAAATTGTGGGGAAAGTGGGAAACAGAACCTGGGAAAAGGCACCCAAGCCTGTCTGGGCACCCCAAGAGATCGGGCCACGTATAACAAGATAGCAAGATAACCCGGGTTCCAATCCCAAGGCCAACGGCTGAGGTAAGACTTCTTCCTCATGGAAAATGAAGCAATTCTTAAAATGAAAAACACAAGATAGACAAATGTGCCCAAAGAGAACTTGAGGAGTGACCACCCCCCGGGCTCTTCGGGGAACCAGAAGTTTCTAGTCAAAGTGCCACCGCAGGTAGAGACTGACTCCTTGTCACCTGCCCAGGCTGGATAAAAAGCAGGCTCTGAGTATTCTGCGGGCACCTTCCAAAGGCATAGGGCACCTGTACTGCTGATTGGTGTCATTTCGTGCAGCTTTCTCCTTAGAGCTATAGTTTCTTCAACTTTATTTTGCCAGAAAAATAACTAAAGAGTCCTCAGTCCTCTCTTTCCCTGGGACTTTTTTTTTTAACGTATCCATATAAGTATGTCCTTAGGAAGGAGTTGCTCAGTTTTCAACATGTGGATAATTGATCTGTTACAACTCACAAAAGAGCATTTGTCATCTGGAAACAACCCAGACCCATGCGCTTCCCCCTCCTGAGACGAGCATGAAAGCACTTGACTTATTGTTGCCATTAAACTGAAGTATTCAGCTGATTGTTTGGTATTTCAGAATTCCTTATAAATCACCGCCTTATTTTGGTGATTACAATTTTAAGAAGAGATGCTTGATTTACAGGCACCATCAGGGAGGAGGCAGAGGAAGAAAGAGGAGCAGGCAGGAGGCAGCAGAGGCTGGAGGCTCAGAAGAGCTGCTATGGGAACAGCTGGCTGATACAGTGCTCCCTCCTCAACAAGCTGCAGCTAGAGACTGTGCCCACACCTGGGGAATTTTCATTACCGGAGGTTCGGCAGATGAATATAAGCAGGGGAAGGAGGTCTGCGGCTCTGGGCAGATTGGGATGTGCCATTCCACTCCTCCTTCTGGTTTCCTCGCAGCTGGGGGTAGGAGAGCTCCGCGGTGAAATTCACTCTATCATCATGCACAGGCGAGCTAAGAAACCTGGGTCTGTGCTCCCAGAGAAGGCAAGTGAGCAGAGGGCCGGCTCCAGCTGGACACAGCTGGATCCTGAGAGGCAACCGAGCAGAAAATGACTTCTTAGGCTCCAGTGCGACCGTCAATCAGCTCCATTTATTGACAGCCAAAGGAGGCACGCCCATGTGGCAGGCACTGTGGAGGGATCCGGAAATGATCAGACACAGTGCCAGGCCTGGAAAATTACACACTAACAGGGAATCATAAGCAGCTTACAGATCAGCTCCATCAGATTAAAACATCATATAAAGTGAGTCATGGGGGTGGTTAGGACCAAGTGGCACCTGCTCCATCAAGTCTCTCCCAGCTGCAAGGTGATGTCTGAAATTTCTTAAGCTGGGAATGTAGACTTCTCCTGGTCCCTGAAAAGAAAAGGGATAGGTTGGTGGTCAGACCCCACCCGGTGGGAGATGTTCAGTGTTTAAACTGGAGCATGGACACATGCTCGGGGGGAGGATGGCAAAGCACTCAAGCTGGTCCTGTAGGCAATATATAAGGAAGAGGAGGCATCCATCTGGAGAAGAGGAGGCACAGGAGCGCTCACACACATCTGAAAGGTCATCATGGGGAGAAGGAAGCAATTTATTTTGTAATTGCTCCAGAGAGGAGAATGGAGACTGCTGGTGGAAGCTGCAGAGAAGCAGGTTTCAGTTCAACCTAATTTAGCAGTCTGAGCTCCCTGGACTTAGAGAAATGCTTCATGGTGAATGTCCTGCGCTGGAAGGTGTTAAAAGACAGACAGGGTGACCATGCTGGAGCCAGTACACAGAGAATCTCTGCATTTGGTGACAACCAAAACCAGGTACAAGTTAAGGTTCTCTGACACTGTCAGATAATATGATTCTGTGACTTAAATTCACACTAAAGTGTGAATAATTGATGGGCTCTTTCCAGAAAGCATATTGCATTAAAATGTGAGAATAATAAAACGTGATGGATATGTTCCTAGATCCACATGTGCCCTTAAAAGAGGAAATGGGCTTGAAATGAATAACCACTGGGCCTCCATTTCTGCACTGAGCTTGCTCTCCTAAATTGAAGAGGAAATGATGTATAAAAATTTAAAGCAGATATGTTATCATTAGTATGTGGGTTTAAGGTCTGGCTCTGGCTCTTACTAGCTTTGTGGCCTTGGAACGTTAAACCTTTCTGAGACTCACTTTTCTCATTGATCCAGTAAGGATCTTAATAGTGCCAGTCTTGTAGGAATCAGTAAGGATTCAATGAGAGTATGTATGTGAAGAACTCAGCAGAGTACACTGCGTACTTGACATATAGCAAATAATCATAGCAAGTTGTCTTACTGTATTTTCTTAATTCCAGAAGGCACAATTTTCTTCATTTAACGTTTCTAAATATTATAATAGATGTTCACATTGAGTATGTTGCTTCTCTCCCTCCAGCAGAGACAGGTAGACAGACAGACAGACACAGAGACAGAGACTGATTTGCAAATGTGTGGCACACCTTGTAAATGATATGTTAGAACCAAATCCATGTCCTTCTTTCAGCAGCCTCTCATGATTACCAGGCTGAACACCTACTGGGAGAATAAAAAGCGAATTCTACCATACTTACATCTTCTATACCCTGTGAAAAAATTCTCTCCAGAATTTAGCAAAAAATAAAGCCACCTTTCTGCATGCCTGGTGGTGGCTCTGTATTAAACACCTGCACAAACCTACCTCATTTCATTCCTGTAATAACACTGGAAGTCAGCATTATTAAATTCCATGGGCCCTCAGTGTTAGGAAGGTTGCTCCAAACACATAATAGCAAATGGCATAGATAGTTTATGAACCAAGATTTATTTGATATTTTCCCATACTATTTCCCAGGGGGTTATATAAGAAAGGTGAGAATTATAGGTCTTCATACTTCCAAGTTATTTTGCTCCCAGGCTAAACCCTCATGTGTAACCTGTAACACACAGTGGTTCCCTGTGGCCTGGGAAGAGGCATGTAGGACATACAGATTCCTACTTTCCATCCCACGTAGACCTTCACACCCTTCCCAGGGGAGTTAGCACATGCATGCACTCACACCATATATGTGCACACTTACAGCTGTGCATACACACTGGCAGGCACCTGATGGAAAGGCCTGGGGTAAGAATGGGTTGCACCGGAGTGAGGCTCTTGGCTGTTCCCTGACAACCTCCCCGGACAGCTTTCCTTACTAAAGCAAATTTCCCAGCCCAGAAACTGGACTTTGGTCCCAGGAAGAGGCTCCAACAGGCATTTCACACCACACTCACTGAAGACGGGTATCTAAGACACGAGCAGTGTATCAATCTGTAGTGAAGGCTCCAGGTGCCAAGGCTCCTGGAGGTGTGGGTCCTGCCAGGCTCTGTGTCCTGAAGACAGTGTCCTGCGAAACCAAATTGTTAGCTGGAAGGTTGGTGAGCATACAGTCAGTGAGTACGGCTAGGAAAGCCTGTGTGCCTTGGGCCAGAGTGGCGTGCTGAGGGGCAACCTGCTAGAGAAGCAGGCTGAGTCCTAGTGCATGCCCTCGCCCCTCCTCTGCACAGAGCCTGCCACCTTTGCCTCTGCAGCTCTGTCAGGGGTACTCCTCAGGCTGATCAGCCTTTCTGCCTGACAGTTCCCACTTCCTCCCAGAGAACAGATCCTCCACATCTGGCTGCCTCTCCGAAGTGGCTTTGCTAAACTCTGCCTCATCCTATCTGACTCACCTTGGAGTCTCTAAAAGAGCATTCTATTATCCTTCTCTCCCGAGGGGTAGAGTCTTAGACCATCTTTATTTGGAAGAGCAGAGCAGAGTCATCAAAAGCCACAATCTACAGGGCAAAGAGAAGTGTTAATATAGTTCTTAGTGTCACTTACACTGCTGGCTGGACCCCAACTGCAAGTCTCCCACCTCCACCCCTTAAGGCAGTCTCAGAAATTTCATGCCCACCATCCATCTGGAAGCAAGTACTTTTACCTGGGAGGGCGCATGCAAAGAGCAAGCTCTGCAGACCAGCACAGTCACAGATCTCTGCACCCAGACTCCTAGAGGTTCTCTGCAGACCAGCCCGGTCACAGATCTCTGCACCCAGACTCCTAGGGATTCTCATCCATCCTTGCTCAGATGCAGCCTTCCCTACATTCCCTGATGTGTATCCCAACACTTTGCAGGCCTGAGCCCAACTTCCACTCCCCACAGGCCAAGCTCTTGCAATGATTTCTCACTCTCTTTCTCTCTCTCTCTCTCTCTTTCTCTCTCTCTCTGTCTCTCTCTCTGTCTCTCTCTGTCTCTCTCTCTCTGTCTCTGTCTCTGTCTCTCTCTCTGTCTCTCTCTCTGTCTCTCTCTGTCTCTCTCTCTCTCTGTCTCTGTCTCTGTCTCTCTCTCTGTCTCTCTCTCTCTCTCTCTCTCTGTCTCTCTCTCTCTCTCTCCACACACACACACACACACACACACACACACACACACACACACACACTGAATGGTCTGTTTCCTGGAGCTGCCCATGACTTCCAGGTACGGCCTAGGATCCCTCTGAGAGTAGAAAGTGTACCTGGTTAATAATAAATGTTGACAATAACAATAGTATTTACCACACCAAGGATTCACCCTGTTAAATGCTTTATGTGCATCAGAATATCATTTAATCCTCCAAAACATGCAAGAAATAGAGGCTATCCCCCTTTCATAGATGGGGAAGCCAAAGAGCCAATTGTAGATTCCTTACCATCACACAGGTAAAGCACGGCAGGTCCAGCCTCTCACTCAGCTGCGCTGGCTTCAGGGCCCATGATTCAAGGCACTGGTCCGCCTGACCACACCTCCAGGGGCCCTGCCTGGTATGTGCCATAGTGGGAAGGGAGAGGAGGGGGGCTTTATCCTTTCTTTAATTCACTCACAAGGACAAGAAGAGAAACAAGCATAGTTCAGAAGAAAGGAGTACTGCAGGGTGCTATTCAGATAGGATGATCAGAGTTTAAGTCTGTCAGCATTTTAAGATGGGCTAAGAACTCTTCTTAGTTTGGTATATATTGCTATGCAAGAGCAGCTTCAATCTTGTTCCAGCTAGACTACCACTCCCTAAAGCCTTCCGACACAAAAATACTTGCAGTCACCTGGTCTGGTTCTTCCACCATTATCCTGGGAGGGACCAACAAGTCCACCTATTTGTACCAACATCCGTGCTGCCTAGGACCACCTTCTGTGGCCAGAATAGCTTTTGCCAAGCTGTGCCTTTGCCCCAGCCAATTGACTTCCTCCCAGAGCTCCCTAGCTCCCCAGAATACAAGCTTGGGGCATTCTGCACCCAGGCTTCCTCTTGCTATGCCACCCTATTATGCATGCAAAGCCCTCTTTCCTTCCGTGGCTCAATGGCATAGAATCCAAAAAGAGAGCTGCAATGAGAAAGAAAGGAAGAATAAAATCTTTGGTTTTAAGATTCACTGGCATAATTCAAAGGAATTGTGCTAAGTGTAGTGGTGATGGGAGGGGGGTCTTTTATCAAAAGAGCATCATTAGAATTTTACACATCATTTAATTTAAGCTTCTCCCCTGTATTGCTCTCATCATCTTGTTTTGACTGATTTTACTCTATTCTGTTCTGTTTGATATTATCAATTTTGAGAGTATAGACAACTACTTTGAAGGCCATAAGATTCACTATGATGGCCACTCTGATTTGACTATTATCTTCTTTTGAAGTTCAGTAATGTTTCCAATGTTTAGGTTTTATTGGTTTTGTTCTGTACTGTTTTGTTCAATTTTATTATATCTGATGATATAGGCAATTCTTTTTAAGATAGCAAGAGGCATTATGGTAACCATTGTTGATTATGTCCATCCTTTGTTTTGACTAACTGCTTTGTTTTGTCACATTTGGTTTTATTCTCTTCCAAAAAAAAAAAAAAAGTAATAAGAACTGTAGGAGTAACAAAACCCAAAATGTGTAAATGTTATTGTAAAAAAGGGAGGAAAAGAAAGTGCTCTAAAGGACACAACTGCAAGTGTATTTATTTGTGTAAGAGATGACTATATTACTAAGTTTTTGTTGGATCATTGAACACAACTGTTTGCAGTCTCACTGTTTGAATGTCCACTTTGTATGCTTAATTTTGTAACTTGAACAACTACTTCTAAGATGACAATATGTAATCTATTAACTAGTGATTTCTTACTGTTTATTTTTTTTAAAATTCTGTATTACTTGTACCCTTTTACTGTTTTTTTTTTTGCTTTATTTTTTTAAATAAAATTTTTTTAAAAATTTAAGCTTCTGCAATGACTTACACAAGTGGATTTCATTACATAATAATCATAGCCTATGAAAGCACACAGAACATGTCTAAGCAAATGCCTGGAAAGCTGCTCACAATGTCTTTGGATGCATCCTCCTCATTCA